CAAAATCTAAGAAAAACACTGACAATTATGATCAAAGTTAAAAACTTTTTGGGAAATTTATGCAGCTCTGCAGAAATTCAATAAAGACCAACCAGGTCAACCCTATTTACTAAAGATTCTAGAAAAGAAAAAGACCTAAAATAAAACATAGTTCAAAGGTGCGAAATTCAAGGAATTTTGAAATAATAATGTCAACGTATAGTTTTCCAGACCCACAGAAAAATACCGGGTTAAAAAGGAGGTATATTTTTTGGCGCTTCGAACCCGCGAAAATTAAAGACAACTGAAAATCTGGGCATCTCGCCCAAAGCCCCAAAATTGAAATACCTTTTGAGGGTGAGCGAGACCAGATCCATCGCCGATCGCATTGATCTTGCGCTTCCGGTCGGTTCTGTAGTCGCCGTCGTCGTCGTCATTGGACTCGGAGCCGCCGCCGTGGGAGTTCCGAGTCGCGGAATTGGCCGACGATTTCTGATTGTTGGGGGGCAATTTGAGGACGAGCTTGAGTTTTTTCTCGCGGCGCTTCCCGGCCGAAGCGTATTCGTCTTCGTCTTCATCCTCCTCTTCGTCGTTTGAATTACCGTCGGGGTCAGGGTTGCGGCGGGTGGATCGACGCAGGGAAGCGCGGGCAGAGTCGGCAGGAGCAGTCCTGTAATTAGGGTTGGAATGAGGGGCAGAGTTGGGCTTTCGCTTCTGCTGCTGTTGCAATTGCTCCTGCTGCTCTCTGAGAGTCCTTTTTTGAAGATCCAAAAGAGAGGGCCGTCCTTTCTTCTTCTTCCTCTCCACTACCTTACCCATTTTTGGTGCCCTCTCTTTCTCTCTCTCTCTCTCTCTCTCTCTCCTCTCCTCCTCTCTCTCTAGGCAGACAACAAACAGGGTCTTATTTTTAAAAATTTTAATTATATTTATCTTTTTTTACTTTATTTATGTGGGAAATTATGACTTTTGGCGACGGAAGGCGCATGCGAATCACGTGATTCACACTGCCTTCGTGTGGTGAATCGACACGTGGTGCGGGAGATGCCTGGAATGGGAGCCGTGTCAGAGGGGAACCTCCCGGTTCTGAGAACTGACTCGGTTTTTTGTCTTTTTGTGTACCTACGACTGTCGACGTGGCCGAATTGCAGACGGAAGAGACAAGAGCTTTGCGAGGCGAGCTTCCACAACGTGTTTTAATGTCGACTGATCTGACAAAACAGTAAAAGAGTGGATTATAAAATATAAATAGGTTGTTTGACAAGTACGAGTAGTTTCGGTGCTGTTATTGTCGCTCCAAAAATATTTATACGGCATCCTTAAGGAAGAATATAAAAAAAAAAAAAAAGTTTTACTTAATTGACTCAAAGTAAATAAATTTTGCGTAAATTTTAACAAAGAGACCTGAAATGAGTTTTAAGATTGTAATTGGGAGACGATAGGGGATTCAAATGAGCTTACCAATCTTCAATATTTCCAAAGACTCAAGTGACCGGTTATTTTTAAAGACTCAAGTGAGCGCAACTATCGTTATATCAATAAGAATTTAAATTGCATGTTGATTATGTTTTCGGTTGTCATTTAATGTCGATCTAGAATCTCATATTTTTCATTAGTTATGACATTTATCTCCCCTTCTTGTTCTACCTGTTCTGCTTATGTTCTCGACATTTATTCTCATTTAACGTTGTGGTCTTGAGTTAATATGTACTAAAAATAAATAGAGGATCCAAAATGCATGTAAATTTCATCTGATCATTGTAAAATGAAGCATTTGCTTCTTTGGGTCTTGTTAGAACATGAATCAGACAGATATTAAAAGTACGCTTCATGTGATATGTGACACAAAATCCTCCGCAGCTAAAAAAGTTTCCTCTTTTGGAATCAAAACCTTACCGCCAATCCCACGTAAAATCCTGAAAAAGTGCAGAGCTTTACCCCAAGGAGGCAGCTATTGACCCACGTTTCAGTGGGCCCAACTCACGAGGTGGAGAGAGAAAGCGAGAGGGGATGGACCGACCTTCAACGCAGAATCGTTGTAGATTGTAAGCGTTGAGGAACCAAAACTCTGCAAAAACGAAGTAAAAATTGTGGGGAAAAATAAAAAAAGGGCTACCAAATGTGTATAGCTGTGTTCGTGTGGCAAAATCACCCAGTTTACCCCTTCCTTCTGCTGCTCAACAGGGACGAGTTTCACAGCAGGTAAGTGTGGCAATTCTGGGTTGTTCTTAATTTTCTATTTTCTGATTGAAATTTGATGATAGATCTGATTCAATCGGGAGACTAAGCTAAAAGTAAAAGTGGTTTTTTTGGTTAATTGGTTTGGTTTTTTGATGGCTCTTCTGGGTTGATGTTAATTTTATGTTTCCGATTGAATTTGAAATCAATTTATCCAATGGATTAGTGAGCTAAAATTGCAAGTAGGGTTGTTTTGGTTTTTGGGTTGTTCTTAATTTTCTGTTTTCTGATTGAATTTGATTTTATTCAATGGGGTTGGTGAGCTAAAACTGCAAGTGGGGGTTTGTTTTGGTTTTTGGATGGTTCTTCTGGGTTGTTCTGAATTTCACTTTTCTGCTTGAATTTCATTTGATTTTATGGGTTGTTCTTAATTTTATATTTCCTGATTGAATTTGATTTGGTTCGATGGAGTTAATGAGCTAAAATTTCAAGTGGGTGTTGCTTTGGTTTTGGTTTTTGGAGGCCAACAGAGCCTCTGGCATGGTGGGAAGGAGGGGAGATCTTAGGGGGAAGAGATGGATTGGCAGGTGGGACATGGCTGGCTTGCACCAGAGATGGTAAGGTGGCTTTTATCACAAATGTTAGAGAAGTTCAGAAGCTTGCTCAAGCTAAGAGCAGAGGGGACCTTCCGGTTCGATTCTTGGAGGTGATTATCCTGTTTGATTTCATATGTTTTGCTTCACCCACTCCATCTGCTTGTTTAATTTTCTCTACCATCTGTTGGCAAGAAGTTTTGTATGCATATATTGACGGGATTTTGGGTACTTTAGTTAGTGTAATGGATTGCAAGCTGAAATCCCATGTGCAGGGAGATAATTGATGGGAAATCAGGTGGAACATTGAAGTATAGGGGTCCAATGAGCTTGTGTTACACCAGTTATTCTCCTGGCAGGATTTAAAGAACGCACGCCATTTAGAGCTTAAACTTAGGATTCTAATCTCGGATTGGTTAAAAATCGATTCGATTTCAGATTTAAGTATCATACTTTCGGCAAACCAGAAAACAAACCACAAAGGTTCAAGATTTAAGGTGTAGGTGAAAACTTAATTAAACTTATATGAAGTTATGGAGCAGGTTCCATCCCCCCAACCTTCTAGATTGGCAGTGAAGAAAGTTACTTCTCTCTACCAGTTTGTGTTTACGTGGTTAATTAAGTTTTAGGTTCTTATTGATGTTATTGTTTGAGTAGGGTGAATGATTTTACTGCAATGTACTATAGAGAGCTTCAACTCTGACATGTGATTCAATTGCCAGCCAATTCTTCAGATAATATCGAAAAGGAAATTTCGTTGGTAATAATGTTCTCTTCTTATTTTTATCTTGGTTCTCTGTATGGAGGTAACGGAAGATTTGGTGCAAAACCGAGAGCAATAAGATTCGTATACCCAACCCCACTTAGTGAGATAAGGCCTTGATTCTCTGTCTGATTTTCTCTAGTGAATTCAACAATCATTCAATATTTCTTGGTTTATTGCTATTCCTTTTTCTTCTAAGCATGGTGATTTCCAATCTAAACTCTAAACTTTAATGTTTCATCAGACTAATTCCTTTTATTAGAGACAAGCTGAGAAATTTCCTCGGATAATTATCGCAGCTTTTTGTGACTGCAGAGCAAGAAGAGTCCCATGGAGTTCGCCGATGAAGTTGTGGAGGAGGCGGATCAATACAACGGGTTTAACCTGGTATTGGCCGATCTTTGTTCTAGGACCATGGTTTATGTAACCAACAGACCGAAGGAGGACAGGAATTTTGTCACTGAGGTCTCTCCCGGGATCCATGTCTTGTCAAATGCACAACTAGATTCTCCTTGGCCTAAGGTAAGAAAGCTTCTTGTTCCACCTTGTTTGCTTTGAAATAGTAAAATATCGGTCCTGGGATCGGAACCTGGAACCCGACTCCGCCACCATATTAGAACGAGAGCATCCAACCCAACGGACCCGGAGAGGTCCTGCATCGTTTAAACTACTATCAATTGTGTTGCCATCTCTATATTTTTGTTTAACTTTCAATCCCCGGGCTTACAGATTTCCGAGTTATCTCGCATATCGTTTTGATTCAGCTTCCTCTTTTGCAGGCTCAACTACTAGGCGATAGTTTCAGAGAGACACTTATGGAATCCAGCGGCGACGATCTTCCGATAAAATTAATGGTTGAGAAACTAATGACGAACACGGTTAAAGTCGAGGACGAAAGCCTCCTGCCTCACATATATCCTCCAGAACTGGAGTACCATCTCAGCTCCATATTTGTGGAGAAAGCCCCTCCGTTGGTAAATCCATTTATCTATCTATCTCCCCATGCAGCTTTTGTCTGTGTTTCAACAGAATCTCTCAAATGCTTTGTTTTGCATATATAGGGACACTATGGCACTCGAAGCACCTCGGCATTGTCTGTGAAGACAAACGGGGAAGTTAGCTACTACGAGAGATATCAGGAAAATCAAGTGTGGAAAGAAGGAACAGTAACTTATCAGATTGTAGATGTCTGTAACTTGTAACTCTTTCAGCCTTGTAAGATTAAATTCTTGTGCTAAATTTTTACTGACTATCCAGTTTGGACTCATTGAAAGGAAAATGATTTCCGCAAATCCTTTATCGCCTTATAAATACTCTTTATCGCCTTATAAATACTTGCGTTTGTTTATTTATGTCTCTCGATTCTCCGAGTTATTGTAATCTTCCAAAGGAGATTGAACCCCATTGCTTTGGTGGGATTTCAGTATCAATAATATCGATAACTGTAATTGTGAGGAGGAATAATCATCTAAAGAGGAACAAAGAGGGGAAACATAAAACACTAAAAACACACTTTACTTATTCTACCATTCCAAAGCATCATAGAGCCAGTAGGGTTTGTAACTACTTGATTACACGACACTATCCATCGTCCGCGATGGAGCTTAACTTAAGCTGTCTAAAGCTAATTACACCTTCTTAGATACTTGGGGGTTCACGAGTCTGAACCATTAGGCTGCGCAAGAGACGCATGCGCAGCCCGCGCCACACGTGCATTTGGCCTTGCCAGCCGTGACGACGCTCTCAGCGCAAGTGCATGGGTTGCAGCTGCAGTGCTCGCCACAGGAGCATGTCATGTGGTCGCCCCCGCTTGTGGTGTCGGAGGTGGTTGTGCACCTGGAAATACATACAAGTACGTAACAAAGAGTTAGATGCGTCAAATTGTGAATTAGAATCATCAGATCGATGAAATGATTTCGAAAACTATGGCAGAACATTCTGTTTAATTCCAAATGGAATCTAAAAACATAGTATATCTCAATTGATGCGGAATCTGATAACCAAATACGATATTTTCATAACTAAATATAATATCCAAAAGTCTGGTAATTTAACATACCAACTATCTGAAGGTCTTACAACATAACATATCAGATATGCGATTTCTTAAGCAGTTACTTACTTGCAAGAGGCGCCACCGGGGCACGGATTAGTGCAGCCGCATCGGTCGTTGCAGCTGGCCCTGAGACCCCCCGCTGTGGTTGTATCTGCCATTGTTGCTTCTTGCTGTGAGATGTACTGACAGAGCTAGCAGCTGCTAGAACTAACTGCTTCCTTTTATACTGCTTGGAAGAAGGGACACGTGTGATGCATGCCGTATTCGTTCGCACAGGAGACCAACAAGTGGTAGATAATAGATATCGTGGTGATTCGATATTTTAGGAGCAGTGGAGGTGGCAATATTTTTCCATGCATGTATTGCAGTTGCACCACGTACACAAAACATTCAATATCCTTCTAGCGATTGGGAATTTATTGGAAAAGTGAAGAGATAATTATCATTAAATTCAGGGAAAATATTGTTCCTGAAAATTTCAGCCTCGTGTGCGTGCTTCCCATCCTCGCTCGAAAGTCAAAGTATTTAACTCAACTGTCTTTTCTTTAAATTGATAAATGTTTAGTATTTTTCATATTTATTTATTTTACAGTAATTTTCTACCATTATTGATAAGGTTTAGGTTACTTTCCCACCTAAATAGATATTATTGTTTATTAAAAAGAATAAAAAATAAAACTCTAGATGATTAAGTTGACTATAATATCAATAATGTTGGTGATGAATCATATTTAGTTTAAAATGTTCATCAAAACTTAAGCATGTCTGATACCTCTCTGAAAAATAACTTGCACTCAACGATTATAAATTAATATTTATATTTCTCTTATCACGTGAACATAAAAAGGTTAGTGTTTGAAGGGGTCATATAAAATTGAGCAAAGAAAAGAAGACAGTGTCCCATGGAGGGCCTGCTTAAGGATGTTTTTATGTGAATTTCATTGTTTACACGAGCAGACAACAGAAATTAAGCTCCACCATCTTTTTAGCTAGATTGAATTAAGCATCCACCTTCGCTTTTGGGGGGTGGGGGCAGAATGGCCGGTGGGGTGGGGTGCGAGCGTTAGATATTTCACAAATATCATTGACAAAACGGTGAGAAACAAATCATTCCATAATCGATAATTGAGGTAGTTCACATGCACAACATCGAAATTTACTGCGACAAAAATTGGACCCAACTTTTAAGTGACAATCATTCAAGGGGTTGTAAATTATGAACAAATTGAGTATATATCATAAACTAAAATTAAACAATTGGATATCGTTCGTCGCTCATGCGTTTTTTTACAGGATCTGATCGTTGATATATATTATGAGCTAATATGTAAGATGAATATGAAATTTTCATGCAAGCAAGGCCAATGAGAAGACAAAAACACTTACATTATATTTGGATGAGGGAAATAAACTTGAAATTTAGATAAACGTTAGAATTTATAAATTGACATACATCAGTTCCCTTGTTTGAACTCGTAAACATAGAAATTTAGAATTTTCGCATGAAAAAAAAAAACTTGGAATTTGGGACCTCCAATTCCCAAGTTTAAATTTCATGTAAATAGGTGTCATTTTCCTAATTTCTATGATTGAGAGTTAAAAATAACAAATTCCGTATTGAATTCCATTGTTCCTTTTTAGGTTAACTAAACAAGAAAATTTACAAATTCTAGAAAATAAAATCTCGTCATTTCAATTTCCTCCATTTTAGAATTGCTTAGTAATCTCAAATTTCTTCATCCAAACATAGTGTTAGTTTCTATTTGGCTTTCTAATTAAAATTGTCTTTTAGATTGAGATAACTCTTTAACTTTGGTCCCTAATAATCAATAAAAGTGGTCAGAGAGTTTGTCCATCATCAATCATTTTGGTCATTTCATAAAAATTTTGTTAATAATGACTAAAATGACAAAAGTATTCTCAATTTAATAAACAATGGGCCAAAATGATTTGATAAAAATTAAAGATATTTATGTCTTTTTATCCTCGTTTAATGATGATTTTACACCGAATGACCAAAATGAATTATGGTAGACCAACTCATAGACAAGTTTTATCCAATTCAAATCGCATGGACCAAAATAAAGAATTATACCAATCTTATAAACCATTTTGGCTAAAAAGCATTCCTAATTTTAAAACGTTAAGAAATTATAAGTGATTTGATAGATGAGCCAAGTGGGCAAAGTTTTTGACAAGGAGTGTATACATACAAACTTAAAATGTTTTATGGTGGTTATTTTACTTAGCTGGGCAAGACAAGTTATATGTACAATAAAAGGAATAAAACTGTAGTGTGTTTATATTGTATAGATTCTTCTAGGTAAAATAGGATAAATTGTTGTAGTTATGTAGTTGAAAGCTTTCAAACTAGCTCTCCCTCTTATATTTTAATCTTAGCACATTAGCTCATTTAAATTACCAAGGTCCTTAAAATGGAGCACCGTCTATGATTCTGTATATTTTTTAATTAAAATGCAGCTTAATAACTGTGGCGGTAATTGAAATTAACGTGTTAACTCTAACATTGACATCCTTCCAAGAAAAAACGAACAAAAACTATCATGATTAAAGAAATGACGTCACATCATATCATATAAGAAGTTTTAAAAGAGTGAATTTTACACTTTTTTTATCTCTTACACATCTTTATTAATTTTTATTTATTGATTATTTTTAATTCATTTGATTCGATAATTAAAAAATTTTAGAATGTATAAGAAGTAAAAACGGGAATATAAATAGCATTAGCACCCCCAAATATTATTGTCAACGGAAGTGGGGAAAACGAGTCAGAGTTTACCACCGCCATCTGCAGCAGAGCCTGGTGTTTGGACTTTTTGGACCCACCGCCACCGTAGTCATAATTTGGTATAATTAAATTTAATTCCTTCTTTATTTTTTATTTTACAAGCAGCCACTCCAAAGGCTTTGCAAAATTGCAAGGCCCAGGGCCCTCTTTTGTAAATAATAATATGTGTACTTTTGTGGTCCCCAATATTAGCTGTAGATCTCGAATATGCCATTAAAGTTGGGACCTTTGGGTCATGGGTGCGGCCTTATTGTCCAAGTTTCCACCAAGTACCACACAATTTGACTACAAAAAGCTTAAATATATGTAATGTTCATCCAACTCAAAGATAAGTAAGAACACTTAAAATTCTTCATGCTTGAATTATAGAATTTTATGCTTATGATTAAAAATATTCATATTATGAATCACTCTGTAATATCATATCTACTAAAAATAAATTAAAACTAAGGTGGTTTAGTCAATTTATTGTAACAGATACATAGATGGTTAGTAATGTTTTTACCAATTTCGTTTATCTGTTTTTATACAGCTAGATGACCAAATGACCTTAGTTTTAAATGAGTATATATAGAGATAATCTTTATAGTGTGATTTATATTATGAACGATTTTGATCATAAACACGAAGTTCTATAACGGTCTCCTTTTCAAAATCTTAAAAAAAAAAAATCTTTTGGTTAAAATGAAGTTTTGGCAATGGCGAGGTTACAGAATCAACATTGATTGGCTCTTGGTCGACGTACTTCTCTTAACCTGCAAATTACGGTTGGAAATGCTTACATTTTAAATTATAATAAATTAATTAACAATAATAAATAGGGAACTTTAACGAAAAGCACCTGGTACTGTTCACTTTAACGAAAAACCACATTTTTACACTAAAAAGTCAATCCTGGTACTATTCACTTTACCCTTTATTTTGTCCTTATCATTAAAACTCAAAGTTTTCAAGCCATTTTCATTAGTTTTCCTTAATAAATAGGCCCAAGAGATTCAAGACCTTTTAAGTGATTAGAACCGTTGGACATGCCACATGGATAATAAGAGAATTTAAAACTAATTGCATATTGTTGTGTGTTGGAAATCTGACGTAACAAGTATATTCGGTTATTTTACTTCTGATTGTACGAAGATCTCTTGTGGCATGTGATCAAGATAACATTTGATGGATCAGACTCTGAATTTTTATCACATTATGTAGAGACAGATGTGCTCGTGAGGTTGAATTTCTCTTCCCGCACTTTGGATAAAAGGGCATGTTTACTTAATAAAATTGGGGAAATGAAGGCATTAGAGAGCTAAAGATACGAGAAGAAAAAAGAATCAGATCAATTAGTCTTTATGGATCGATTTGGTTTCTGATTTTTAGGTATTTAATATGGATTTCAAGGGAACTTTTCCATTTTTTTATGTGCAAGTAAATACAGTAGAAAATTAAGGAGTGAAATGATTCCCTTACGTATATTTTAGTGAACGCAAAGAACTCAAGAATCAAAATAATTTATATTTCTAACTCATGGAAGTAAACATGCTCAATTTAAGCTTAACAAAGATCCATTTTCAATATGAAGGTCGAGATACAGTCAACATAAATGACTCCTTTCATGCATGAAGCGAAGCATTTTGTTTAAAGATTGAAGGGAAGGGGCATCAAATCACATGACCAAAATGCTTGTAAGATAGGTGGCGACGGTGATTAGCTGCATAATACAAGATTTCGTCCGCCAAATGACAAACAATTAAGATTATGTAATCAAACTTTTGGACTTATGTTCAACAAATACTTTTAAAATTATTTAATCTTAATTTTATTTTTTAAAATTTTTCTTTAATTTTGTATTGAGTAAAGACACGAGAACCCCAATTGAAATGGTGACTTGAAATTCCAATGGTAGTGCCTTTGACATCACGACCATGACGACAACCGTGAAATATGACATTTTTGGCTCTCTAGCTTCTATTCAAAGCATGACAATGACGACGACCGTGATATATGACATTTTTGGCTCTCCAGCTTCTGTGTATCAAAATCTAAGTAAAATGCTTAAGTAAATGCTACACTTTATTCACTTTGACAAGCTTCTAAATTCTACTACTAAATAGTGAATTCCACAAAGGATCCCTTCCACCTAATCCTTTTCACCAAACAATCCGGACTCTTGAAATTTGATTTAACGGTTAAAGTTATTATAATTTTTTGAGTGAGCTCCTGTTTGTAGTCGTTGGATCAAATTTTAAGAACCCAGATTGTTTGATGAGGAGAATCAGGTGAAAGAGATCCAAAGAGTATCCATTTTCCGTTTAAAATACCTAACTCTTTGTCCAAGTTGTTAGTGTTGATAATGACATCGGCATCCACTTTTATCCATTTTCATACAACCCAATTTCCCAATACGTATCAACATA